ACCCTTAGTACCCCCTGTCGTTGACCCTTTGACCCTTACCCACGTAACCGTATAATTTCATTATTTACGATACGATACTTCCAATGTTAGAGATTATATGTCCTTAAAAAATTAAATATTAAAATCCATCTAAAAAATAGATTTATTAAGAGACATGCATTTCTACCTATGCGTGCTTGGCTGCATAAAAACCGGGTCCATGAAAAAATTGATGATGAGGAAGTGGAGCCATTGTTAGTGTCATATCTCAATGCTGTGGGTCCTAATTTGTCTACCCTCAATGATTTCGAGGGAGGTAATTGAGGCCATCTGCAGTGATATAAGTTCGTGATGATAATGGGACGGTGTTGTGGAAGATTAAACCTTTGCTCTCTCAGTATGGTGGAATTGTGGGCCTTGTATTATGGGGTGTATAGATTTACAATGTTAATACATATATGGTCATTGAAAGAGATTTTTAAATGTCATCAGGTGGTGCAAATCGTAAGAAGCAACCCCTTGATACTCGATCCATATTATAGACGGTATTATATTTAAGCTTTAAGCGGGGGAAGTATTTTTGTACTTCTCTCTCTTAAAACTTAAATATAATACCGTCTATAAAATATATATATATATTTGATCAAAAAAAAGAAGAGAAAAATACTTTTTATCTCCTGCCATTAGAAAAAGGAGTAGAGTAGCGGATGGCTTGGCTAAACAGAGCACGGCACATTTGACCTGAGGCGTATCTATGCTTTGCCTTCGCTCCCTTCTTGTACCTCTTACTTCTTCTCTTCTCCGAAGACCTCTTCCTTGGATCTCTTCTCTCCTCTCTTATCTACTTCTTTTCTTTCTTCCATCTCTCCTCTCTTATCTACTTCTTTTCTTTCTCTTGCTTTTTCCAATGTACTTTTTATACACTCTCAATGAAAAGTTTATTAACATTAAAAAAAAAAAAGTATTTGTAGAGTTGCGGCTATATATTGTGTACCTCAAATTCATATGGAAATGCATTTTCGGTGTTAGACAACCTGCATTTCGAGCGTCTTTGACCTCAAAACAGTTATAACTTTAAAAAAAAAAATTTATATAAGGTTGTTACTTTGTTTTTACAAATAAGGTTGCAGTAATCTATAATGTCCAAATCAAATGGATAAAAGTTGCAGTCTTATATAAATTGCACCTGACTTTAAAAAAATAGATTGTATATTATGGAACTATTTGTCTTTGTTACAAGGAGGTGACATTTACTCCAAACTATTAGATGCCAGATTTGATGGCTTGGGTATGCTAGGCAGTTCAAAAAAATTTATTTGAACTTTGGGTCTAGTCAAAGACACAGTCACAACCACAAAATTTCAAATATGATAGACAAGAGTGGTTATGACTTCTTTATACTAAAAGCAACATTAAGAAAG